ATTTGACCAGCACATGTCTCAGGGCCTTGCTTGTGTAGGTAACCACATCTTTTGTGCCCTTCCAAAACAATGTGATCTCCCCAGCTCTGCCATTTCAAACATGCTTAAGGCCTCCTGGGAAAGGCTCAATACCAAACTTATGACCTCTTTGGTATTTCTGGGATCATTATCTATGAGGCAACAAGATCTTTTTCAAGTTCCTTGATCCCTCCATGCCAAAGTAACCTTGCCACCTATCTCAACTTTCTTTATATACTTTTGGGAAATGTGTATCTGAGGTGCTCTTGAGAAGAGAAAAATGTTTGCATTTGAATCCGAGACCAAAGGAACACAAATCTACTTCTGTCACTCACTTCCTCTGCAGTAATCCAGTACGACTACAGAAGTGTTTTAATCCAGTAGAGAAACTGAGCAGAAAAAAAAGGCAAAACAAATCCCATTGATCAAAGGAAGTTGTTATACCTCATCTGCTGGCACTGGTGAGGCTGCAACTGTAAAACTATGCTCAGTTTTGTGGCTCCTCACCCCCAAATTCAAGAGAGATATGAAGAAGGGAATGAGGGTCCAGCACAAAAGGTGGCCGAGGCACATGTGAGCTGAGGCTGAGGGAGCTGGCTTTGTTGACTGTCACCAAGAGGCAAAGAAGGCATCTAGGAACAGCCCACAACTACTTGAAGGGCAGTTACAGAGATGACAGAGCCAAACTCTGCAGTGGCAGGTGAGCCAGCAACGGCCACAAATTGAAGCATGTGAGGTCCCAGCTGGACATCTGAAGAAGCTTCCTTACTGGGAGGTGGTGCAGCACTGACACAGGCTGCCCAGGGGGTGCTGGAGCCACCTTCGTTAAGGACTTTAGGGATTTGGTGAGACACGGCCACAGCAGACCTGACCTGCTGGTGTTGGTGAGAGCCCTGCTTTGGGTAGGAGGTTGGATGACCTGGAGGAGCCACTTCCAACCAACTTTGATGTGATCCTCTGCTCCTGTAAATTAGAGAGTGATAATCTATAGATGTAGTTAACACAGTAATGCAACAGCAAAATCTTTTCAGAAGACTTAAATAATGGCTCACTTAGCACGTAAATGTTCAGTGATGGTCAAACTGGAAGAAAACTACGGCAAAAAGTCTTTATCATATTTGCAGGAGCATATTCATCATCTGTTACTATGAACATTTTCCTAGCTGCTTATAAATCTTTCTTATTAAGTTTTAACTAATTAGAAGTCATTGCACATCCTGCTCTTTCATTATGGAGTTTTGTATTTGTTCCTTATTTTCTTTTAATCTGTTGTCTTTGTAAGGGAAATTTATCTATTCTATTTGAAATATAGAGACTTCATTCCCCAGTTTTGTTCTGGTAGTTGATCGACTTCCAGGACTCATTGAATTCATCAGGCTGCTCCAAATTGTCAGGTGCTTCACCATGCTGCCTTTAAACTTGTTAAATAATTTTCTGGTTTTATAACATGTTTAATAACAATTTTTCATACTGATTAAATATTGGTAAATTATTCTCAATTTCCAGTATTTTTTCTTATTCTTAATTAGCAGCTTTTACATTGGGAGTCATAATTTCTTATTTCAATAGAATATATGGTATAATGGTATCATTGACATTCATTTTTATTTTCTAATATTTGCGCTGTATATGTCCATTGGTTTTCCACTTTGAAATGGGACACCTTAATACACATGTAAAATAAGGGATTACTAATGTGTTTTTAAAGATATTCTGATGGTTGGTGGTTTTTTCCATAAATCAAGGCATTGCCTTGGCTTTTCTGAAGGTATCTCATACAGAAAGTGTCTTCAGTTTACAAGGCTTGCTATTTGCTTGGTATCATTCAGCAAGGAAGACCCCACTTGTTTTAAGTTATACAGGCTAATAGGATTCTGCTGTGCATATTTAGTCCATATTTAGCATTTTAGGTATAGTTTAGCCTTTTAAAGCCGGTAAATCTTGCTCTCTTGTCACAACTTCTTCCAGCATGTGCTCTCACTTGAAAATTACATGTTTTGTACTTATTTTTGTTCTGTGATACATCAATACTATACGTTGTAATAATAATAATAATTCCTCCCTCTTATGGGGAAGAGAATTGAATTAAAAAATAGAATCCATAAGCTGAACCAAAGCTATGAGTAAGTTGTATATGTAGAAACTGGATGCTATAATTGTCTTTTCTAGAATTGCATAATCTTTTCAGGGTATCAGACAATAGATAAATAGGTGTTCTTATATTTATATGAAGTTTGCAGGGCTTAGAGTCAATTTCCCTGCTTTCAAATTGGTCAGTCAAAAGTTATGTGATAATTTGTAGCCTTTTGGTTTTACAGTTGACTTAGCTCACTATTTCATACTGATATGTTTTATTCATATTGTGTATACCCCAATTTTAATTTCAGCATTATAATAACTTGGAAGATTTTGAGAGAGTTTCTTTCCTTAGAAGCATAAAACTGTATAAAAGGTTGATAATATACTTGTATGCTCTAATTAGTTTTGACAAATCCTGATTAGAATAGACCTAAGAAAACAGGCACTCATGAAAGAGCTCGTTACTGTTTTATTAGTGTATTGTA